GGGATAACGTTCAGTTAATTGCAGTCTGAAAGAAGATGCATATCGTCCATATAGAGGCTTCAACTTCAGCATTCGCCAGAAGCAGTTGGCTTGAAGATTACTGGACTTACTTGCTTGGCTTTGATGTACTGCCCACATCGCCTTCCCATACAACCGCCCTACATATCCCTTGATTTTGTGTTAAGAATGCCGTGACGATTCCAGACGAAGTGCTGTAATCAGCCGAAGACATCGCTGTCTCTGGAAATGCAACGCGCAATTTCGTCATCGATTTTTATTGTTGTTTTTGGAAGCCTTACTGTGCTTCTGAAGCCATTCACTATTCCAGCTGCGTATTCGCATGTGAAAATGCGGACGTCCAACTGCCACGGTCCACCATTGCCCGATGAGATGTCCCGCATCAGTGGCGCGCGCGCGTAAATTTGTTTCTTTTGCAGCAGACTTGCGCTGCATCCTCCAATCCCCCTTCCCTACCGCCTAGGTCCAATGGCCGGACAGAGTGAAAACGACCAGACATGATTTCAGACGCAATGACTGACGAAGTCAAACAGCCCGTTTGTCACGTGCGACCTGGTCCCCGCTCTATATGCTCAAGCTTATGTTCACGGAGGCTCAGATCCCACATATGGGAGGATTCCACAGAGCCGACTTGGGTCCTGAGAAGGGTTGGGTCATCCCGTCAGTTGGCAACCCACAAAGGCAGGACCCCTCGCCCACGCAATAGAGTAAAGCGTGCCACACTGAATACGGTAAGGAATGTGCTGAGTTGCCGTTCCAGCCTCGTTCTCTCTTCCCTCACCCATGCACTGGTTGACTGCCCGAGGCTGTCAACCAGCTGCTGCTGGGATTGGGTGTAGTGGCTGACGCGGTGTCTAGGGCGTGCTACAGGCCTGTATGGACTTAGCGCAGCCCAATAAACACGTGCCCGGAGCCAATTTGGTCCAGGTTCTGGTAAAGCGTAGCTCGTCGCCTGTTAACAAAGTGGCGTACTGCATTCGATCGTCTTCGTTTGTTCTGAAAACCATTCCATCAGTTCTAATACATATCTTACTGCATCCCCATACACGCTCCGGTCTAATAAAAGAGGTTAGACAGTCGCAATCCCGAGAATCGGTGCTCGGGTACAATGGCTCAGCTTGTTTTATTTGACGCCCTTCATCCAACTAAGCAGCACTCACCTTATTCTAGCCGACGGCTTGCAGTTCCGGAGTGCAGCTACCATGACATGGGTCTGTTCTCCTGACGCCATTAGTCGTGAATGTCGTGCTAGTTTTAGGGGGTTCTGTGTTGCACTACTTTGAATAAAGTACTCATGTTGGCACTGACGAATTAAGAAGGGCAGCTTATAAAAAGCCCACTCGATGTTTAACGACTCCCTGGTAGCAATCGATATCAAATACACAAGCCGGAAATAGCGATACTTCAAGATACCTGTCATTATTGATTTATATATTTATTGCTGTGACACTATTACAAACAGTCTAGGCAGGAATCAGAGAGGGCAATAAGACACCAGATTAGGAGGTGTTGGGACGAGATGTTCGGTGAGATTGAGGGCTGTCCAGAAAAGACAGTCCAGAAGATTTCTCGCCAAGTACGTTAGGTAGGTACACCTTTTTCTCTGAATTTTGGGAAAATGAAAGAACTGCCGCGTCCATAGTAAGTGCTGTAGGAGGTGTTCATGCAGGATGTCTGGGGGACGCAGAAAACCACTAGAGATGATTACTTATACGTCGGGCACTTGGGCGTTGCGGTGCAGAATAGCATACGCTCACGTTCGAGACCGAAATATCTTGAGTCCGTTCGTGACCCAGCTACCGGTACATTCAAGAGCGCTTTTGGGGTTTTGTCCCGCCCCTATGGGTGGCGGGGAACACGTGCACATCGGCATGGAATGGCAGCTTCACGAGCACTTGCGTATATGTAAGAATGTTTTTCTCGTAGTTGGTGATAAGGGAGTATATTTGGTCTCCCGATCTACAAGAAATTGAAGACCGAAATGTGGCCTTAGGAAGTGGGAAGCCGTCTGACGTACACTGTTTCTGTAAGTCACTCGTTGGTGAGATAGAAGGCTTACAGGAAACTGGAATCCGCTTCAAGGATGCTAGCCAACCAGCTCGCCTTCGCGTACTCGTTGTAACCTTTGACGCGCCAGCCAGGGCTTTTTTAACCAAACTAAGAATGTGAATGCGAACACTGCAGTGATAGTAATGTAAATGGCAGAAGTCGTGTTCTTTGGATAGGGGCAAACGTACAGGATGAGGACTTCTTACAGTCTGTTGACGATGCGTACATAGTCGGAGTCTCTCCAATTATGTCTTTTAATCTAGGCCTCACATCCACATTTTCCCCAGGATCCTCTACCTTTGTTGTGCCCGACCATGATGAAGCTGATGCTCAGTTTGTTGGCCAGAAGTCATCGCTTGAAGACCGGTAGTCGCAATGTGGCATCGATATTAGAGGCAACGGAAGTTGAGGCTGTAGACAATAGACTGCGTTCCATAAATCTATGCCTATCGGCTGAATTTTCTCAGCTTCATAGGAGTTGAGCAACTTTGAAATGAAATTTGTTTTCATGGAAACTTAAGGGCTGCCTGCCACGGTCCAAATTGCAGGATTATAATGGGTGCGTATGTCATGAACTGCATCACTGTCGGTATTTAAAGGTCTTTGTCGTCTGGAATGCCAGTGATATCATTAGATTAACGGGCCTGAAGTTTACTTTAGCCAAGCGACTCAAAAGGTCGGTTGATAACTTTGTCCAACGCAATCTACGAACTTTAAACGCGAGTTGATTTAAAAATTTTTTAAAAGTACTCTTGTCCTACAGAACATAAGAACGGACCGTCCTCGAGGAACCGGCCTTCATCCTCGCAATTACCGCTCCTGCCGATGCTTTTTTTCATGTTCTTTCAATAAACATTTTCCAGTGTAACCGTCTTAAGAGTAACTGTCCGACTTTGGCATTGTCATAAAATGAACGATCAAATCACACGTACAACGGCGGGCAAAGAAGGTCAAGAAGAGATAAAAAGGTCAAAGGAATGTATGGGTATTATGTTTGGTGTAAGATGCTTAACGTCCCACTTTCGTCGTTTGCGAAATACCTCGAAAAATCGATATTTGCTCCATATCGGATTATCGGACAAAATCGGTACCTACTCGATACAAATCTCCAGAAACAGATATCTGCTCGATATAGCTCGTTACCACAGTTCTGGAGCGACAGCATAACACGTTTAATCAAATAAGTCAGAATAACACATTTGGAATGTATACATTTATTTTGGCACACACCGTAAAGAAGTCAGGCGTTCTGGCGGTCACTGAAATGCTCGCTAGACATCAGTTTGTTTTTAGTGGGCCAGTATGTACTGAGCCTCCTTTTTAGCCTTATGAAGAAAAGTGATGAAAGAACGAAAATTGGGTACCTCTTTCGTTTCTTCGTCCATTCCAGTAAATTCAAGCACCTTCGCAGCGTACTCCTTAGCCTTGTCGCCTTGGCCAGTTTTGGCGTAACACTGCGCTATCCGACAGACGTTGTTTGCCAATGCCATTGGTTTAACTGAAAAAATGTGGTTTTATTCACTTTCCATTACCATTCTCTGCCTTTAAGAAGTAACCAAGAGCCTAGAAGAATACATCAAAATTTGCGAGTCGTCTTACTTCCTCGTAACTCGATGTTGGAGGAGCACTAAAAAATGCTCGTGCAAAAACGCGTTCAATTTTTCCCAAGCTGGCAACCGTATAACACCTAAAAAATGTGGCAAAGGCTCCTATTCACCATATTCCGAGTGCGTGCAGTGTCGCATAGTCGGTTTCGTCAAGCTCAACGGCTTTCTGTGCAAGTCGTCAACGACTATTCACCACACACCTGGAAGTATTCCTTCACTTTGTACGCGTTTTCAATTCGCTTTTTTATCCCTTCCTGTTGGCCTTCCAAGTCAAGAAATATTCCATACCACTGTAGAGTGTCAAGAGGGTCGTGTTTTACAATAACCTACGGTATTGCAGTTAGCGTTCTTGGGGTACTTCTCGACGGCGTACTTGGTGGCCGCCAAACCTTCTTTGATCAAAGAAGCCTTTAATTTTTTATCCGACACACCCTCCGTCAGTACTAGGACCAAATCAAGGTATCTTTCATATTTTACTTCGCCAACGACAAGTTCGTGCAAAGCGCCATAAAAGTTCGCAGGACAACTGTTGGTAATCTCCTGATGGTGGGTTTATTTTATCATAGCATTCCTTGTACTTTTGATCTGTATCTAGGTCGTCGATTTCTTGTATGAGCTTCTCATCTCCTGATGCCATTGCGCGCGAGCGATGCAGTAACCTGAAAGTCGGACTGTGTCTGGCGGCGAAAGGCACGCTATTTACACCAGATCCAACCAGCACCTGGACCGAAAACTAACTACATACAACCCAAAATACGGACTCATTCTTATACAAAAACACAAACACTAGGACAAAACACAAATACCAACGGTATTTCAGTTAGATTTTTAAAAACGCAATCTAACAAATAGCATACGCACTGCCCACCATTGTCAGTTGTTTGTCAAAATACCCAAATATCTTAAAATTACACTTTCATGCCTTATCTGTCAAAGGGGAAGATTTAGAAAGTGCGCATAGAAGTTAAATATCGCAATTGAAAATTCCGTTCTCAGGGCTGTAGGGAGCCTGATTCTTGCACTTTGATTTCAGTTGGTACCGATATTATGTAGTGATTTGCAAGGTTGTCACTTATACCGTATTTGTTATTTTTCTGAAGGACTGCAGCAGAATCCGCCAAGGTATAAGGGCGACAGAAGTATGCACTGAAGTTGGATGTTGTAGGATGAAGCAGGATTTTGTCAGACAGTTGGTTTTCGAAGTTAATTTGTAGGAACTTGTTGTCCTACAACTGACATCGTTGCGGCTACTGCTAATCCTCCCATTTCTAGCACCGATAAAAACGCCCCCGCTGTCACATGCCCCACCACCCTTGTCGCCAAGGCCCCTGCACCAGTAATTCGCACTCCATCCAAACTTTTCTCATTGCAATTGCTCCTTCTTATCCCCTATTGGTCTAATCGGGCCCCTTAGAGAACCATCGCGTTAAGACTAGCAAACCAGTGCCAGGCGTCCCGACTATGACTCGCCGCACCCATCTTAACTGTCCGCTCTGACCACAGACATAAATTTTGCCGCATTGACGTACTCAGCTTTATGTCCCTCCATGAGAATCTGTGACCTAGACCGCTTCGCAGCACACTTCCCCATCAATACATGCATTGTATCGGAGCACGCCCGGCGGAACGCACCACGGCCAGGGATTGAACAACTCGCACGTAATTGAAAAGCGTGTTCTTCGGCTCCTTCACCATTTGAAACCTATGCTACCTAGCATTTGAGGTGTGGACACGCCAGCCCCATGTTGTGGAATCATGATGTGTCGTGCCGAGGCCGGGTTGTGTGTAGCACGCGCAGACTTGCTGTGTTGGTTCTGTCAGCCCCTGCGCCCCATCCTGGCATCGATTGGTTGATCCGCTCGGACAACCAGCTGTTGCATTGGAGAAGGGAGGGATGGCGAGGTTGGCCTTGTGGAATCCATCCCCACGGCACTTCGGTTCATTCCCCATTATAACGAACATGATGCGCTTAAAACTATCGCGACTTGCTAAACCCCGTGTCTTGGGAGGTTGTCAAACGATGGCAGAACTCAGACCCACATTTAGTCTTGCGTGTGTTTATGTGGAGTGGCGGATTGCTTGACCGAAAGTCATGCCCAATTGTTTCTCCCTGACCATGCCACCATGGCATTCTCGCGTATGTAAGATCCGAACCGCCTGCACTTTCGTGTGAAATCCTGGTTTGCTGTGCGGGGAGCCGGGCCGTTTGCAACACGCGTGGACGAGATGACTTGCTCCGTTAAACACTACATCCAATTCCCTCATCTGCAATCCGACTGGCTCGAACAGTAGACTGCTGTATGGGAAGTCTGCCAAAAGAAGGGATAACTCGGTCCTCCTCGAAGGACAGCGAGTCAGACTGCGATGGCTCCTCCTTACTTTGGTTTTTATGGCTCTCCCACTCACTTGAGATCCGAGCCCCAACTTTGTTGCTTTGGTGAAATATCGCCCATCGTACGAGAAACAAGCGTGTGCAGCACATGTAGACGGGTTGTTTGGTCTTGTCAGCCAATGCACGCAATCCCGCTCACGGTCTTCTCGACTCTGTCTTGACATCGGGTCCACGTGAGCGAAATAAAAGAGAGTGCGGTGGACGCTGCGAAAGTCTACTAGCACTATATTCCAACTCACTTACAATTAATAGTCCCTACGCCGACCATGTTGAGGTATAAACAGTAGAGGTAGTCGATAACGCTGGCCGAAGGGTCACAAAGAATTCTGCTTGCATGATGTAACAAACGATGCACAACCGATGAACTGTTCAGTAACATTTTTACTAGCCCGATGCCCGGATTTTGGCCACTACAGACACATGATGGCGTAACAAGCGAACCATGCGACAATGTAACCCTGATAACAAACGTCCTTGTGTGAAACTCAATCTGTTTCTACTTAGCACTCTGATGCCCTTGCACTGTTGCTAATTTTTCCGACTCGTATGGAACAAGTTCCAGGGTCAAGGTCAAGTCGCTGATTCTAAATTTGAAGATGAGTGAAAGATATTATTAAAAGTGGTTTCTCCGAGTGACTTAACGATTTTAGCTCCTGTTTTGGTTCAATTTTCTTAAATACAGCCCTATTCATTCAGAACTAGCAGTTGCCATTTCCTTTTTAAGTTCTGCTAGCCTGTTGTTGTTGATCATCAGCCGCACTCTGCAATTTGCACTATGCGCATTCGATTTCTCTCTAACTGTGTAATTTTTGTACATCGTTAACCTCTTGCTGAACTTCAGTCACCTGGTCTATCAGACGTTTTCTTAATTCCAACTTGCCTCGAGACAAGATGAGAGTAAAAGTCCCAAATTTGCGAAAGCTCTCAGTCTCTATGCGTAAGCATGACTTGGCTTAACTAAATCTAAGTCAGTAGGTATTATTAGTCAGTCGGCACCCGTTATAACCGATAGGCGGCTTGATCTGTCTGAAATTTACAATTTCAATGATGTTATACTAAAGTTGGACACTCTGATCTCAGTGCTTGGAAAATTATTCGACGGGAACATCTCTGATATTCCCTCTCAAGAATGTAGACGTCTTGACTCACTTGTTCACCTGATCGCCGGTGAATCTAGTAACATACAAAAGCGTGCTTACAACTTTTGTTCTAAAATGTTCCTCGATCTGCTCGGCCACTTGATGTTGCCACTAATTTCCTGTATTCATGTGGCTTCACCTACAAAATGGTCAATGCAAGACGCTCGTCCTCCCGTAGCAAAAATCCACTCATCTTAGTCAAATTATTTTCATCAATCGAGGTTGACATAATCTTTGCCCACCGAGAGCGTGTCGCTGCGTACCAAGAAAATTCAAAAGTTTTCCTTTGTCATGATCTTACTCTCAAGGAGAGTATAGTCGATTCCGCCTTCTCACGTAAAACCACTCCTTCTCAGTTTTATGCTCACCAAATCAGTCATAATACAAGTGGCTGTGAGAATTCAGCTAGTCCCACTCCTGCGATATATGACTCCCTCCTTCCCCTTACTCTTCAATTCAATTCAATTATTTTTTATTAAAGACCCGTCGGGCTCCCATCAAAGCAAGTAAAAATAAATTTACATGCAAATTTTTAGACGAGGTAGGCAGAATCTGTACAAAGTGCAATGCGTAGTTTTTGAGATTAGAAGTCCGTTAAGCAAAATGAAAATGAAAAAACGAGCGGTGAAAAAAAAGCTCCAAAGCAAAAGTTAAAAATGATTGTAGTAATTTAACAGGAGAAAAAAACCCTCAGAAAAATAGCATCAGGAAAATACAGGGAGGACTGGCCTGCATGTGGCGGTACAGAATGGAATATAGTCCGACATCAACATGGCCGAAATAAATGTCAGCTGTATATGGCATTGTGTAACGGATATCATAAAATGGTATGTAGGCGGGTCGGTCAGGACTGGCCTGTATCGCCTTGAATAAGAAAAATAAGTGGCGAAATTGAAAACCAGTCACAAGCTGATAGGAACCCAGATGCGGTCGGTTTCATTCAACCGAGTCCATCCGAACATGGGGGAAGGGAGATGCGACCAGACTACTAGTATATGGCGAATATAGAAGGCTTTGTCAAGACCGCCGATGAAGCGCATTCTGTAAGGGCACGATGACAACCAGTCTCGAGGCGACAAGAACCCAG